CTGTCATTCTAAGCACCCCTAACATAATGACTGCATAAAAATCAAGGGCAAAACAGTCCCAGAGAGGCACATAATAGCTGGCAGTGGGAACAGGGCTAGAAACCCAGAATGTCACATTTCTGGACCTGTGGACACAGAATTCATAGTTCCACCCCTTCCCTGAAAGTTGGAATCTAAGGCTATAAGGACACATTCCTAGAAGGGTAGGAAGCCCAGGACTCCTAGCAGGCCTTCAGAAGAAAACACCCAACAAGCTTGCAATTCACTAGACAGTGAATCTCAGCCATCCCCACCTAATTAGCTCAGTATGGCCCATCAATAACCCTCACTGATACTCCCAGAGAGAGAGAGAGAGAGAGAGAGAGAGAGAGAGAGAGAGTAATCATAAGGTAGGCTGAACAGGATCCACGTATCTTCATTTAGAATTCTGACTATTACTCCGAATCCCTAGCATTTTATAATGAGCACTTGAATTAGAGTCAAAATGACATTAGTTCAACTTCCCAATTTTGTCACTTAAAATCTCATGTGATAGGCTTTTTAAAGCCCTAAAGGTTCCATTTAAATCTGTTTGTCATAGGAGACATTAATAAGGCAGAAAATGAAATAAATGGTAATTTAAACTTGAAAAATATAAAGAAAAATCCCCCAAACAACAGTTTTTAGATAGACATTAATATAAATAAAATAATATTAAGTATATCAATTTATTAAAGATGATTAAACTGAATATACCCCAAAAAGTGACTATCAGAGTTAAAAATCCAGGTAGATACTACTTGGAAGAAAAAAATGACAAAAATTGAAAATAAAGTGCCAGAAAAATGTCAATAAGAAGAAAGCAGGAAGAATGAAGGTAAGAAGAAAGTTAGGGCTCGACACCCACAACAGGATTGCGGGGAACCGACATGGTAAAATCACCATCAGAAACAAACTCAGCCTCTCTTGAGATCTGGAATCCAGATACCTGGAAAATAACTTGGCGAAGAAGAAGAAAAAAATAAAGGTTGCGGGAGAAAGGAAGAAAGACCGGAAGAGAGAGAGAAACAGATCTCCAGGAATTGGGATGGAACGGACAGGAAAATGAGAAACTACAGAGAAGCTGGGGAAACAGCACAACACAGAGAAAAGAACAAAGCAACCTGAAAGGTCAGCCCAGCTCCCTCAGAGGGGAAGCCGCTTCTGTGGACACAAAGTAAGTTTCTAGGCTTGGGAGCTCCGGGGACAAACGGCTGACTGGGATGGAGGTTCTGGCCCCAGGAGGAACCTACAGCTGTTGTGAGTTGCAAATGCAGCGTAGAGTTTTGCTCTGAGGTGACTTTTCCCACGCAGCAGGCAACAGTTAGAGAAGGAACCCAGGGTGGTGCCCACCATATTTCCAGAGAGTGTTTAACCAGGTGCCATTTCAGGAAGCAATTATTTAAGACTGACAATCAGAAAAACTATGAAACCACTTCAGGGTTCCTACTATGACATTCCCACAGTGACCTGATGAGAGAGAGCCACAGGAGACAGTTACTACTATATCTTCACTAGTATAACTAGTTGCAGACAGGGAACAGGCTAGACACAGGACCCCAAGAGTTTAAACTCTGGCCAGGAAGGACATGGCCCTCTGTGGTGAGCAGGCCTGGCTTGTATTGCACTCCGAAACAACTGGGTCTGAAAGTGCTGGCATCAGGTACAGCAGGATGCTTGAGCCCTTGCCTTGATGCTATATCCAGCACACATCAGAGGTCTGATTGCCTTCCCCATCTACCAACATGAGCAAGCACATATATCAGGTTGGATGATTGTCACAGCCTGGGATATAGAAGAGCAGGGTCTCTGGAAGAAAAGGGCACCTTACAAGCTCACAGTTCAAAAAGCGAGGCAGAGAAAAGTGACTCTCTGAACTCCTCAACTACATATCCTGGAAATAAACCACTCATTTAAAAAGATATTTTTCTTTGTTTGTTTTTAGATTCATTTTTTTGTCTTTCTTCTTCACTAATTTCTTGGAGTTTGGAAAATTTTTCTTTTTCATTTTTTTGTTCTTTCTGTTTCTTTCATTTTTCATTTTAATTTTTCTGTTTTTTATTCTCATTTTTGTCCTTTTGTCTTTTATAATCTTTTTCTTATTTGTTCTTTTCTGATACCTTTTTCTAATACTATTAGTATTCTTCTACTGCTTAACAGGATCTGTTATCTTACTTTTCTCTCCTGCTTCTCATCATCCACTAATTTTTGAAATTTTTCTTTTTTCATTCTTCTATTCCCAATCCCCTCTATCCTTACTAGTATAGCCATTAAGTTGTATTGATTATAGATAGTTAACTCTAAGTTACTACTATTGAATGTTTTTCTAATGTTAGTGGAGGTATAGTTGTTACAGATATTTACTGTACGCCCATATTTGGTTTGTTTTAATGTTTATACTGTAGTTATAGATCTTTTTTCTACGGTTAGGGGTGATACATTCTTGGTTCTTATGGTATGTCAATATCGAGTTTGTTTTGGGCCTTATCGTTCCTGGCTTCTTGCTGTTTTGTTGCTACTTTTTTAAACAGCAGAGTATACTTACTGAAGGAAAGAAAGCTTCTATCTGAGAGAGGGGCAAAAGGGGTCCTGAGTGGGTCGCCAAGGACTCTACCTCTTCTCGAGATTTTTACAGACCCAAACCATGAGGTGAAGCAGGTCTAAGGTGGGGAAAAATGGGAAATCACAAGGTGGGCATGAGGCGGGACGAAACTATGATCAACCAATAAGATTTAAGAGCATAACTGACTCTTACCTCTACCCAGTGATCTCAGTGGAAGACCTCCAAATGACACCGGGGATAGAAACTCCCAATGTGCTAGATGTCCAGTACAAGTTGTGTTCTCTAAAATCAAAGAATGAATTTTAGGAACAATGGAAGTTAAGAGCAGAATATATTTATTGGGAGAAAGAAAGCTTCTGCTTGAGAGAGAGAAAGAGAGTGAGGGAGAAAGAGAGAAAAACAGACACTTGAGTGGGTTGCCTATTTGTTTCTTTTAATAGATTTTTAAAATGCAAGTCATATCCAGATTACCTTTGTATCACTACCAATACTGTGATTCATCCCTGGAAAACTGGGTGCTGAGTCTGTTACTCCCAAATTAATGGAGGTGGTCGGATCTTGGGACAGAGACAAAGACTTATAGTTAGCCATGCCCAGAGAGCATCACCAAAAAGTAGAAACTAAGAGATCTCCACACTAGCAACAAAATATTTCCACTATAAGCACTCACAAACCTCAGCATAAAAACAAACAAACAAAAACAAGGCAACAAAATGCCTCTAAAAACTTGCAACTTGCCCAAAGCCAATTTATGGGAAATCAAAGTGAAGGGAAACAAAAGCCACACCAGCAAGCTATTTGAAAGAATTAAAAAAAAAAAACAAATCAATAAAGTGCTCAATAAGTCCAAAGATGCAGTTAAACATAATGGATGTAATAAAATAATCAGGGAGCTTACAGAAGACACAACAAGCAAGTTGAGCTAAACAAAAAAGATACAAAACAGAAAGACCAGTTTAACAAAGAATTTGTGTCCATAAAAAGGTTCCCAACAGAAATTCAGGAGATTAAAAATTCTACTCAAAATATGGGCACCAGAAGTGCCCACTGTGAGGAAGATAGGGCTTCTGTCAGAGGCCACTTATTCAGAGATACCTGAAAAACCAGAGGACATAAAAATAAATGCAACATCTGCTAGATAGCATAAAGAAGATTAATATAAGTTTAACTGGAATAAGTGAAAATTAGAAGGTAGTACAAATAGGATAGAAAGTGTTTTTATGTATATGCCCCAACTTCCCACGAGGAATGTCATTATGTACTACAAACATGTACTACTAAAAACTAAAAGTTTTTGAAAGATTTACCACACACTTAGTAAACCTGAGGATCAGGACACTTTCTGACAGTCATTCTTCTTCATCCTATTGTGAAGGAAAGTTTCTTTGAGGAAAACTCTTGTAAAGACTCCAGCAATGTTCATTGTAGAACTGTATTAAATAGTGAAAAAGTATAAAACATGTAATTGTTCCAAATATAGAAACTGATAAGGAATTTTGTTAATAGGATTGAATGTTTAGTTAAAAAACTTTAGATCTATGTATGAACAAACAACCCTAAACAGGATCAATAGGGGACAATAGGTATGATAAAAATATGCAATGAATAATATACAGTAATCCTAAACTTATATGCTCTAAAATACATGGAGGCCAAAAGCACATAGCCAAAACTATAGAAATACAAAAAAAATACAATAAAAATCAGTTTTATGGTATCTTTCACTTTACCTTTTTAAGAATTGGATACACCTAATAAGTAAAACTCAGTAAAGGCATAAACAAAGTGATTGACTTAACAATCTGTTATAACAAATAGAGTTTTACTGTGTCTTGTGTGTAAAAAGTCTAATTTAATTTCTCCTACTATGCTCCCACAACACACCAAGAAATTCTTCAGGAGATACCTCTAATTCATTTCCACTTTCAGGTTCTCTCTGTGGAGATTTGATCAGATCCCATAAGTTAAAGGCCCAGTCCCAGGACATGGCATTATGTGGAGGAAGCAAGACATATCTTCAGATGCCAGTTGCAAGTCCCAGATTGTTTCACTCATGCTCCCAATTGACCAGCTATACACCAGGGTTCTCACAATCCCACCTTGGGTTTAATGTTCTACAGTGCCTCACAGAACTTAGAGAAACACATTTACTCATTTATTATAAAAGATATTACAAGGGATATCGATGAGGAAATCAATAGAGTAAGTCCTGTGGCACGGAGGACCTTCCCTTATATTTGGCTCTCTGGAATCTCTCTGAAGCCTGTCCTGAGTTTTTATGGAGAATTTATTATGTAGGTGTGATTGATTAAAATCTTGCCTACTGGTGATTAACTTTCTACCCTTCCCTTCTGAGGTGATGGAAAGAGCTATGTCTTAGTTTTCTCTCACTTCTAAGACAAAATACCCAATACCCAAATTTAAAGGAGGATAGGTTTATTTAGCTCACAGTTTATAAATGTATAAGTCCATAATTGGCTGGGTCCAAGGCAGAGTAACACAGTTCATGGTGGAAGACAACAAAAACAAGTCAGAGCGAAAAGGGAGAAACAAGCCTCTTTCTGCCCCTTTTATCTTATCCAGTCTACTCAGATTAGGGCAGTGCCAACCCAATCAATAGACCGATCCAGTAATGCCCACCCTTAATCCCAGCATTGTACTCCGAATCAATCACACCCCTTAGATTCAGCTATCTCAGAAAAGTCCCCCCTTCATGACTATGAGGCTTTGGAGGGATGACATCCAGATGCAAACCATAACAGGCTGTGATCATTGTGATACACTGATTTGACTTGAATAAGAATTACCCAGCAAATTAGAAAATTCTGGATGTGTCTGTTGGTGATTGAAATATACTCCAGAGGCTGAGGCAGGAGGATTGCTGTGAGTTTGAGGCCAGTCTGGGTCACACAGTAAGGCTACTCCAAATTACATAGAGACCCTGTATCAAAACAACAACAACAAAACAAAAAAGAATACATTTAATAAGAGAGATATAAGACCTATAAAAGTGAAGCAAAACTTAAAAAGGAAAACAAGCTTCCCCAATCTTAAGCAGTTTCCCCTTAGACTTTCCCCTCCCTATGGCTGTTGCTAAGCTGCAAATCTGTCACTGGCTGACTAACTGCCTTTGTCTTGGTTCTGTAAACCCACTTTCCCACTCACAAGTTTAGTGCCACAAACCAGACCACCCCCTCAGAACCATGTATATAACTAGAGTCTTTCTCTGTTTGGGGGTCAGCCTGTGGACTCGAGTCTACTGAGCTGGTGTGTACCTAAATAAAATCATCCTGTTTCACCCATTGGTCTCTTAAAATTCCACAACCAAAGGAAAATTACAATACTATAATACCTCAATCTGCTCTGTCCCCCACAGAGTAGGTTCACTGACTTTCATCTGAGCAAAGCATTTCAGGACACATCAGTGAGAGTCATAGGCAGACTTACTAAGCACAATCAAAGAAGGACACGCTTAGAAGTGAGTGTAAGTGCTTGAAGATTAAGTGGTATTATGGTCTGGGGGCTATTTGTGTGCTGTTGGGGATGCCCTCAAGTAAAAAGCCTTAATGAGACTTTTCTTGAAATTTCATAAATTTAAATTAACTTTTCTATAGAGAAATAAATGCTGGGGAAGTGTCAGGGACCACAGATTATAAATGAAATCTAAAGGATGTCTGAGGTTGCCCTTGTCCTCTTTGAGCTAGATTGGACTGAGGAAACTCCTCCTCCCTACTGGTCACAGTTGAAGCCCTAAGGCTAGTGATGCTGTGATGCTCACAGGGCAAAATCAGACTCTCTGAGTGTGATACGGATCTTTTATTATCTATTTATTTAGGTTCCTGGGATCAAACTCATGACCTCAAAGCTTTCCAGGCAGGTGTTTGTGCCACTGAGCTAAATCCCCAGCGCACAATAAGGATCTTTAAAGCAATGTAGTAGCAGTGCTTTGCTTTCACCTGGGTAAACTACAGTTTCCTTATGGCTCCCTTCTCACCCCTGTAAGATGCTTTGTTCTTACTAGACCACAACAGCTGCCCTTACTGTTCCTGGAATCACTTGCTACCCCTCCCCACGCACTGGCTCATAAAATGGGTGGCTACCTGGAGAGTCTTGATCTTTGCTCATCCTGAGGAACTGACCTCCCAGTACCCCTTTAAGCATAAATTATCTCTGTCTCTTACTTCATCCTTTCCATACAGGCAGTTGGGAATCTTGGCCACAGAAAACTATGAAAAGTGGAATGGAACTTGCCTTACTAGAGATTGAGAAATTCTATAAAGCCACTAACATCAATATGCATAGTTATAAAAATAGACAAAATCAGTGATTACATCTAGAAAACTCTAGAATTAATTTAAATTAAATATTAAAGAAATTAGTATATGAAAAGTGCAGTTGTTCAGTCCTGGAGGGAAAGCATGGCCTATTCAATAAATAAGATTGGCATGACAGTGTATCCATATGGATAATATAAAAATAAACCACACATTATACTATATAAAAATAAATTCCTGGATGTAAAGACTTAAATGCAAAAAATAAAAATCCTGCAAGAAAATCCAAGAGAGTAAATGTATCATCTAGGGAGGTTGGTAAAATCTTCTGCAAAACCAGAAGTTATAAAAAGTATACAGACATATATCACCATTTGAAATACAAAACTTTTATGTAGCAAAGGTAACATGAACAGTAGATAAACAATAGGTGTGGAAACACTTTGTAATGCAAATGATTAAGGTTCAACTTTTACAGTATATATGAATTTTATAAAACAATGGGAAAAACACATGTAGCCCAAAAGAAATAAACAAAAATATAAGCATACAACCCACAGAAGGACAAATCCAAAGACATAGAAAAGAGAGTCTGATTCTCTTCTAGTCAAAGCATATAAAATACTAAGTGATGTCATTTTATACCCATTAGATTCACAAAACATAAAGTATATCATCTAAATATCTAATCCAAATAAGGAAGGGAGAAAATAGATTTTCATATACTGCTGATGGTAATCCCACTGACACAGTTTTTGGGACAAAGATAATCAAATAAAAGATCTTAATTTTAAAAAGTAGAGACTATACTATCAGCAATTTGACCTCTAGCAATCTATCTAATCCCGTAGGTATAGTTTAGCACCTCCACGTAGGAACAGATATACATTGTCTAATCCATTTTGCATCAGTGGCCAAGAACAATTCGCTTTTCTTAAGCAGGGCACTCTGGGGCTCTCTTTTCAAAGCTAATTCTTTACATGGCCAGTTAGTCACATTTACTATTTTTCTGATGCAAAGTACTTGACATTTTTTTCCTAATCTTATCATCATTAGGAGCAACAAGCCCAACTTTGCAAGTGCTTTCTTTCCGGGGAAACTGGAAACTTCTTAAATAGGCTTTTTGCTCCTGTTTCTCACTGGAAATTTCACTAAAAGCAATAGGTAAGAGACATGCTACAACCTGAATGTTGGGATGCCTTTAAATTTCAATCAGACTAATTAGTTCACCTCCTTTAATCTCAATGTCCTGCAAAGTCTCAACACATTGGAAAAAATGTAGACAAGTTTTCTCTCAGAGCATAACACATGTGGTTTGGAGTCCAGCTGCCAGGAGTCCTTGCTCCTAACTGAAACCTCTTGAACCTGGCCTTTATCATCAGTGTTTCTATCAGTATTTTGGTTTTTGAAGCTCTGACCGTATTAGACATCAACTACTGCTCACAATATTCTAGGGCTCCTCTAGCCTGCTCCTCCAAACTTTTCCAAACTCCACCTGAAAGCATGTTCCATAGATTAGGCAGTGTTTCAGCACCTTATTTGTATCAAAATCTGTCTTAGTCACCTTCTTTATTGCTGGATCAAAATACCTGACAACTTCACGCTTTAAGAAGCTCCAGTTCATGGTTGGCAGGCTCAAACACTGGGGAAAGGGCTTCCTACAGAGGAAGACTGCTTACATCATGGGAGGCAGAAGCAGGGAGAGAAGGGAGGGAAGGAGGGAGGGAAATATGCCCTTACAGGTCACACAGTGACCCGCCTGTAACTAGGCCCCATCTCCTAACAGGAAGTCAGGTAATCCACTGGTGAGTATAGTGTAGCATGAATCAATCACCTTCCAAACACATGCAGGGTATACCCCAAATCTAAACCATAACAATGCTGTTAGTTGAGAATAGCAGAATGCAGAGAATTGTATATATTATAATCCCATTTTATATAGTATACAATAATGAAGCCACCTTGCTTATTATTGTGTGTGACTATATATATATATATATATATATATATATGTATATGGACATATCTGGGTCTTTTTGGATGTACATGCAGGCAGATAATATGGAAGCCCACACAGCTGATTAATGTGAGAGAAAAGGGATACATGACAATCACGCTGATGTCAGAGGAGAGAAAGTAAAAGGAAAAGTAAAGTGGCCTTGTTTTTAAATATATACATATAGATAGATAGATCCAATTTATTTAAAGATAAATAATTACAGAAATTAGAAATAAGTCATACCAAGTTTTAAAAATTGAGGCCCAGTAAATGACACATGTTATACAACTCAAGCACATTGCCTACTATTAACATTCACTCATTGGTTAAAAATATAAATCCTTGAGCTCATTAACAAATAGTAAAAGATGCAGAAACTAACACCTGCTAGCAATATGGTGGACTCAGACAACCTGAAAACCCTTTTACTATAATCACACAGAAATACTGGGTAAAATGTAACATAATTATTGTAAGTGTTTAACTATGCTCACAAATAATAAAAGCAAATACCCAGGTGCCAGAAATAAAGAGGGAAATAAAAAAGCAGAAGGGGAAGTGCTTGGGCTAATGGGGTGGTTTTGTCTCCAGAACGTAGGGGTTTGGGACTTAATGCCCACACAGGCACAGGAAATGAGGCTTTGGGCTTTAGGAGGTAGGGAATTTGACTGAGAACTTCACATAAAGCCAAGACCCTCAAAGATCTATTTTATTTATGAAAGGATTTAAAAACAAGAGAGACCACAGGGCACAGGTCCTTGGGTGGGAATAAAATAAAAGCTCTTAGAGAATTCAAAACCCCAGGATCACAGTTCACATTGCTTTTACTCTACCTCCATAGTTCAGAAACTCCAGACTAAAAAGTAAGTAAGAATGACTCTTTAAGCAGTGATATTCCTGGGGTACAAGGCAGAAGGAAATAAAGATTTCGAGGAGAAGATCTCCCATCCTAAATATGAACATACACAAAAAATACAAGTGCTGATAATGAATTAAATAAAAAATTACAAAGCACAAGGGTGAATAATTGAAATTGATCAAGTGTCTGCACATACTAACACATAGTTACATCCTCTACAAACTCTTAATACACAGAAATAACCAGAAAGAGATCACAAATGCATATAAAATAGTTGCAGACTAGAAAAGTGATCAAATCCTTAAAACAGAACTTAACTGAAAAATGAGCAAGCAGAATTTAAAAAACAGAACAAAAATCTCATAACATCATGCAATAAATTATTTTTAGTAAGATTATAAGAGTGACAATAAATTACTCATTAAAAGACAGAATATAAAAATATTTGGAAAAATGTGCCATGTTCATAAATGGGAAGATTCAATAAAGCAAGATGGCAACTTTCTCCAGGTTAACTTATAACCACCCAATTGCCATCAAAATCCAACAGAAGATATCACAGACTTGACAGGCTGATCCTAAAATGTATACAGAGAGCTAAAGAAATTCTGCAGAATGAAGGTACCTCACTGAGGGATGGGCTCATGCTACCACATAACAAGACCAATATAAACCTATAGTATTTAATACCTGAGGTATTTGTGAGAAGATAAACATATTAATGGATGATTTTTGAAAATAACTAAAATACAGACCCATATGTATGTGGGAGCTTACTGAAAGACAGAGTGTCATTACAAATGAGTAAGAAATTGTGCTCCTATATTATACCTTAAAAGGTTGGAGCAAAGAGTTAAATACTTTTGAAAAGCCAAAAAGGAAAAAAAAAAAGGACTGGAGAATGTGGATAGTCAATTATTCACAGTAGTCATGTTCTATAAACTCTCCATGAACACTGAATTAGCCAGAGCTGAAACACTGCTCCTCAGGGAAAGACAGCCCCTGGTGACATTTCTGTCAAGTGATCAATACATACCTTGTTTTAAGTGTGTTTCTGTTTAAGGACATCTCATTTATTGCATATTGGTGATTCATTAACCCTGATCTTACGGCCAGCAGCTCTGTCACACACGCCTAAATTAATCTTATTTAACACATTTTCTGTAAGGTATTTTCTTGTAATTAGAAACACCAGGCAGCACTTCCACACTATGCTTGAGACCATTTTAAACAGCAAACCCTGTAACAGGAATGTGAAAAACATGGCATTAGCTGTATTCTCAGGACACTTGTCTACAGTCTGAGGGCTGAAACAAGACCACAATGTTACTCTGTTTGATCTCAGCCGGGAATATGTGTGACAAGTTTTCAGTACCTTTGCACATGGTCACTGCATATATTGTCTCTGGATTACACATAAATTTTAGTGGGTAAGCGACTTTTCTTTTCTTTTCTTTTCTTTTCTTTTCTTTTCTTTTCTTTTCTTTTCTTTTCTTGGTATTGGGGATGGAACTCATGACCTAGCACTTGGTCATGAGAGAAAGGGAAAGAAGAAAAAGAAAAGAGAGTTTAAAAATTCTTAAAAATCAGAAAAAGAAAACACAAGTAGCCATTAGAAAAATTAGCAAAAGATAAGAACGAGCACTTTACAGGTGAAAAAAAACATACTGGCCAAGAAACTAACTAAAAATGCTCAATCTCATTTGCACTCAAGAAATGTTAACAGTGATATAGGAACGCACATGCGCTTCGAAAAGTTTAAGTGTGGGTTAGCATAACTCGTGTCAGGTAGAAGTTTTACGACATTAAACAGCAATCCTACCAGGCTTTTGTTCTTCTGTTTCCATTGGTTCTATCATATTGTATCTTATTGGATTGTATTATATGTGATAGTATAAACAAATTTGCTATGGAAAATGAGATAATATAGTAGCCGTTGTTCGTTCTCTGTTATTTGGTTCTGAATGCCCTGTAATACTTTCATTCTCTTGAATGGTTTTATACTATTTTGTTATGTTTGATACTATTGTATATGAAGCTATGCTCAACTATTTCAAAGAAAGAGACATTGTGGTAGTTACTGTTAATTACGGGTTGTCTTGTGCTGAAATACTGTGTTGCTTACATTGTTCTGTTCTGATCTGCTTTCTTATGTTCTCTTTTGTCTTAATCTCTTTTAAAAAAATACCTTAGTAAAACTGAAATGCATTTTTAGGTAAAGTTTCCAACAAACACATATAATTAATTCTGGAAATCAGAACCTCTAAAGAGAAAAATGAGAGTTCCAGAGGGAACCGTGAAAATACACAACCAAGCGATACTCAGGAAGCATCAGAGGACTCATCAGGTACTGCCAGAAGGCTAAACCACCATTTTCTTAAATATTTATATTTATTAATAAATGTTTGCAGTACATAGTGCTTACATTTATCATGGGGAGTTGGTGCATGTACATAATACATCTTAATTATTTTTACATCCCCTTCCTCTCCCCTCCCTCCATCTCTTGGACTCATTCCCACTTTCCAACAGTCTGTTTTTTTCCTACTATCTTGTATTTCAGATCACCAGTTGTGAGCCAAAGGGGCAGGAGTTCTGTGTGGATAGGTTGAGGACTCCATGTTTGTCAGAGCAGCTGCTTTAGCAAAGCATAGAATTTAATCTTTAAAGTGGCCACAGATGTGCAGTTCCTGCCTTTCCCTTTATTTCCTGCACATAATAGCAGTGATATTCCGTAATTCTATTTTCCATGCTTTGGATGAAGGCTTGGGCAACCAGTAAGCCATTGAAACCCATGTTCTAATGCTTATTAATTCTGTTCTAGGCTGGCTGTGACCATAATTATACAGGAAAACAGTATATCAGTCTTTTTACAGCACTCCCATCAATGCCTGCTGCTGCTCACCACAATTAATTTAAATTGAATATTTAATAAATATTAGGCTACTATGTACTGGACACTGTCCAAAAAGGTCATATAGTTAGTATATCAAATCAGGAATATTTTACTATTACTTCAGATTTTCTAACATGAGTGATTGGCAATAAATAACATTAGAACGTTACCTGAGGAAGATTTCTTTTTCTACATTGCTTTGTCTTAATGTGTCTTCATTCTGTGAGGTCCTTCTCTTTCAAAAGAGTCACAAGAGATAAAATTGAACAGATAAAAAGCACCTTCTGTGGTCACACTAAGGGTTTGAGTTTTATCCAGAGGACAGTAGAAAGCCAGTGAAGTAACTGAAGAAAGGAAAGATAATCATAAAATTAAAAAGTATAGACTAAACCCATTAAAAATCTTAGATGCTGGGTGTGGAAGTACACACCTGTAATCTCATCTACTCAAGAGTCTGAGGCAGAAGGATCCCAAGTTCGAGTCTGGGTAACGTAATGACTTAGATCCTGTCTCAAAAATAAAAAATAAGAAGGAGTGGAGGTAGGCTTTGGTGGTACAGTGCTTGGATAACATGCACAAGGTCCTGGGTTTGATCTCTAGCACTGTGAAAAAACTTAGAAAAAAAGAAACAGAAGCTTAAGATAGGGTAGCACAAGAGAAATGAAAACATATTGATACACAGAGATGCATATGAATGTTTTTGCTAGGATTATTCAGAATAGTCAAAAACTGAATACAAAGCCAAGGTTCATAAACCAATAAATGGATAAACAACATGTAGTATATCCTGCCAATGGGGTGCTAATCTGCAATAAAAAGGAATAAACTATGAATACGCACTCCAAAAGATAAACCTCAAAAATATGTGCATGTGAAAGGTGCCAAACATAAGATGCCACATATTGTATTATTTCATTAAAATGAAATACTCAGAACAGGGAAATCTACAGGCAGATGATTCATGGTTGCCTAGGGAATGGGTTGGGTGGGTAGCGGTAAAGAGGTATGGGGAATTAACTATGAGTGTGCATGAATAGCACACTGTTCTGATGAAAGTGTCCTAAAACTGACTGGTGGCAATGGTTGCATAACTTGATACATTTACTAAAACATTGAATTGTATACTTGAAAAGGATAAATTTACATGATTTGCCTCAATAAAGTTATTTTGGCAGAAAAAGAAAGTAAGCAACAAACAACTGGCATAGGATATTTGAAGGGACAGCTGAGATGAATAACATGCATGGCTTCTGGCCCCTAGGGCTCCTCTGCTTTTAATCCTCAGGCCTTCAGGGTCTTCCCACCTGGGAACAGGGCGTCCTTTTCAGGCAGAAGCAGCTTGCAGAGCTGAACTGACTCTGGGTCAAGTTGACACTGCCTTGAACACTGCTTTCAACTGTTTCCTTCTTCTCACAACTACATGTTGCTGAGAGCTTTTTGCTCTGGCATTTACCTAAAAGGGTCTCAACATTGCTTTTTGACAGGTCCCTTCAGTGACCAGAGCCTCCCTACTGCAACCCCGCCACCCCCACTGCTGACCACCTGGCAGTCTGGCTGACAGTCAGAGAGCCTTGAGCTACATTCCCAGCCCTGTTTTATTTTTTATTTTGAGACAGGGCCTAAGTCACTAAATTACCCAAACTGCGTTCAAATTTAAAATCCTTCTGCCTCACCCTTAAAGCGCTGGGATTACAGATGTGCCATCAACCCTGGCTCATTAACACACTCTTAATGTTGAACTGCCTTCCTTTGCCTGCAAGGGAGAGAGATGGTAGGATATAATAGCATTATGTTCTGGTGTGCAACCTTGCAGAAATTACTTTTCACTTCCATCATCTTCAGTTTCTTTGTGTATAGAACAAAGGATAGTATCTTCTTTGTAGGACTGAGTGAGGATAAAATGAGATAATTCATGTAAACTGCTTAGTACAGAGGCCAGTGCACTGCAGGTACATAAAATGGCCATGTCTGCTTCTATGTTTGACTTCCTTTCTTTCTCAGTTGTGAGACCTGAGTCTCTCTAGGTCCTAACAAGTGACCACTAGATTTACGGGTGCAGATTCTAGAATAATTGATAACAGGAACAATGATGTCATGTTGCTAGTATGTGTCCTTGATGGGAGTAATGAGAATGGCATTTTAGCCCTATAGTCTTTTCCCCCCAAATATATAACTCCAGTCTAATTGTTAGAAAAATGTTAAATTCCAGTTAGCAGATACACAAGATGGCTGGGCTGAGGTTTTTCACCCAGCCTTCCACTTGCAAGTGAATTGGCATGTTATGTAGCCTGGACATGCACAGTGAACATGTACATGAGTAGTCTATTATATAAATTTTTGGCAACGTGCCAACTTTGTGTGATATTGTATATAATACAGGAGTGGGATTTTCTTTTCTCAGTATTGCTTTTTGCTGCTGAGCTAGTAAAGGCATGTGAGACATTCTTAAGTCCCCACATCTTTTTTTCAAGCTGCCCCAATAAATCTCAAGTGAAACTTCCCACCTTGGACTGGTAGCACAATACCTTCAAAACTGTGAAGGTCATCAAAAACAAGGTAAGTGTGAAAACCACTTACAGTATAGATGCCTAAGAAGATAAGATGGCTGAATGTGATATGGTTTCATAGATGGGATCCTGAAAAGAACATTCAGTAAAAAATTAAGGAAATATGAATAAAGTATACACTTTAGTTACTAATAATGCATCAATATCCATTTGTTAATTGTGACAAGTATACTATACTACTGTAAGATGTTCACAATAGAGGAAACTGGGTATGAGAGTTCAGTACTATCTTCAAAACTTTTTGAGGTCTACCTTGAAGTCAAATTTTATTTAAAAAGAAAACACAGAAGTTTGTTTCCAATACATATATGATCTATTTTTAGTCTCCATTCCATTAATCTATGTGTCTATTCTTATAATGACACATTGTTTTAACTACTAGTGCTTTATAATATATCTGGAATCAGGTAGTGTTAGTTCTCTAAGTTGGTTACTTTTTCAACATTGTTTTTGCTATTCTAGGTCCCTTGCATTTTCATATAAACTTAGAATTAACCCATCTATGTTTTAAAAAAGCTGGCTGGGACTTTATGTTGAATCTATAGATCAACAAATTGGAGATAATTAGGGATAACTGACATCTTGACATTATTGAGTCTTCTATCCCAAGGACACAGGACATCTCCAGATCCATTTAGATCTTTTACAATGTCTCTCAGCAATACTTTCTAGCTTCTTTTGTATAGAACTTGTAATTTCTTTATCACATTTATCACAAAATATTTTAGTTTTGAATCTATTTTAAATTTATTGGTTTTTTAATTTCAATTTCTGTATGTTGCTAATATATCAAAGTAAAAATTGATTTTTACATATTGATCTTACATCCTACAAACTTGCTAAACTACCTATAGTTCTAGTAGCTCTTTTGCAGTTTCCATAAGATTTTCTACATAGATGAACATAGCTGCAAATGAAAACAGTTTTTCTCCTTCCTTTTCTATCGGGATGTCTTTCTTCCTCTTGCTTATGTTGACAAGATTCATAGGTTTTTTCAGAGATGCCCTCTATTTGGTTAAAGAATTTCCCCTGGTATTTCAAGTTTATAAGAAATGGATGTTGGATTTTGTGTCTACTGAAACAATTATATGATTTTTCTTTTTTGTTTGTCAGTCAAGTGAATTACATGGGATTGCTTTCAAATATTAAACCAAGTTTTCATTTTTTGGACAAACCTCATTGGTCATAATGTGTTTTGCTTTGCTTTCCTTGTGGTACTGGGGATTTACCCTTTGTTCTAGGCTACATCTCAGGCCATTCTATTCTGTACTATTCTATTCTATTCTCCTGTACTCTACTGTACTCTGTTTTGTGAGACAGAGTCTTCAATTGCTAAGTTACCCAGGTCAGACTTGAATTGAGTTATTCTCCTGCCTCAACTTTCCAGAATGCTAGTCTTGCAGGCATGTATCACCACACCTAGCTCATAATGTATATTTTAGAATATATTTTTAGTTAGGATTTGTGATAAATTTATGATGGGTCAGAATACTTGAAGCTTCTTGTGCTTGGAGTTCAGTGAGATTGGCCATTTCTAAGAGACCAGAAGCAACCAGAACTGGAACTGAAACTACTACTTGGGCAACAAAGAAACTGAAGTATACTGGCTGGGGGTAGTGGCATCTTCTGCTACAAGCTGACTCACAAGGGCACTGTACTTTGGGAGTGTGCCCCAGCTAGCTGCACAAGTCCTGGAGGATCTGAGTCCCACCCAGCCCAGTGGAAGGCCCAGAGCCATACTTTGAGGGTGCACCCTGGCCAGCCTCAAGGATCCTGGAGGATCTGAGTCCTACCCAGCCTAGCATCAGGCCCTGGTGCCATACTTTGCAGGTGCACTCCAACTAGCCACGTGGGTCCTGGAGGATCCAAGTCCTGCCGATCCAAATGCAAGGTCCTGTTGCCATACTTTGGGGGTGCACCCTGGCTAGCCACATGGATTCTGAGGGTCAGAGCTCTACCCAATGCAGAGTAACATCCTGGTGTCATCCTTTGGGGGAGTCACCCTGGCTAACTTCATAGATCTTGGAGGATCCAAGCTCCACCCAGCCCAGTGCAGCACCCAGGAGCCATCAATGGAGCACTCCAGGGAGAAGCATGGTTTTGGAAGAGCCCCACCCAGAAACCCTCCACCATCAGGAGGGAGCCATAGTGAGCTAAGGGAGGGCAAAAGCCCTGTTTGCTATTTTTCCATCAGCTCAGGAACCTCTGCTCAAAAGAACCCAGATACTTGGTCCACTCACTTACATCCCAGGACTGTCAGTCAGCTTGAGAAGCATCTTGGACTTAATCAGCTCAATTGGAGGAACATAGGAAAATGACAAAATGAAAGAGCAAAATGCAGTCTTGTGGGAATCCCTGTAATTGGCTGCCACCTTATATCTGCAGGCCACACCACCTTAATTCCCTCTAGGAGTTAAGTTTGGTAATTAAGCAGCACCTTGCATAACTTGTTTAGCCTGTCCCATTATTCCGGGATTATGCTTATTGAGCCCGAGTGCAAGAAATTTGAATGGACCTATAAATGTCAGTCTAGCCACTGTTGCTAAGTTACCTGCTGATGTCTCAGCACTGAAATCCCTCCTCCCCAATATCCTATATATTTGATACTCATTCCTTGAATGGAGACTTGATTGGACTTCCTCACCTTGTCTCTGCTCATTGTGTCTCTAATTTCCTTTTCTTCCCCAATCCTCCTCTAGGGTCTCTGTGGACTTACCCACAGGCCAGGTCACAATCTCAGACCTCCAGTCCACTGAGAACAAGCCAGGAGACACTGACATAGACGAAACCAAAAATTACACAACTGAAATATCTGAAAAGATAGCAACTGAAGTGAAGAAACACCATGAGGCTATAGAGGAAATCAGATCAGAAATAATCTATCAGGTAAAAAAAAATGACAAATATGAAAAAAATGTTGAGCATATATCTAAAGAAGACATAGATAAAAATATTAGAACATAATAAAATGATGGCAATCTTGAATGAACAATAGAAGAAAGAATTAGAATGCATGAAACAGATTCAAAGAAATATTCAGGAAAGTAAAAATTCCCTTGAAAGCTGGCAAAATTGCTTGAATGACAGTAAAGACAGACTCTCAGAACTTGAACACAGGATGAAAGCTAAGGATCACAAAAGAAAAGATCTCTTAAAAATAACAAAGAACCAGGAAGCAACAATGCAACAGCTGCAAGATGAGGCAAGGAAAAATGATATAAGATTAATAGGTGTCAAAAAAGCAGGCATCTACATGAATGACATAAAAAGACTACTTTCAGAAGTTATAGCAGAAAAATTTCCAACCTTGGGTGAAAAATCTGACATACAGGTACGTGAACCATATAGAACCCCAATTAGCCATTAGAAAATAAATCTATACCTAGACATATAATTATTAAGACCCCAGAAATTCAGCACAAGAACAAAATACTAAAAGCTGTCAGAGAAAAAAAGAAACCTATCACATATGACAGAAAACCCATCAGAATCATGGCAGACTTCTCAACACAAACCATCAAGTCAAGAAGAATGTGGAGTGAAGTATTTCAAATCCTGAAAGAAAACAACCTCCAATTCAGATTGATACAAAACTATCTTTCAAAATTGATGGAGAAATAAGATACTTCCATGGCAAAGATCAACTGAAGAGATTCATGACCACCAAACCAACACTACAAAGAGTTCTATAAAAGATAAAGATGACCACAGTTCCAAGAACAACAACATAAAGAAACCACCAAGCAGGGCAAGCTCTTAAACAGAAAGAAACAGTAGAGAACCAACAACAGGAAGATAATATGACAAAGATAAATCAATACAAATCAGTTATAACCATCAATGTAAGTGGTCCCAATTCACCAATCAAACAGACTAGCAGAGTGGATTAAGAAACAAAATCCAGCAATATGCTATGCACAGAAACACATTTATCTCTAAAGGAAACTCATAGACTTAAAGTCAAAGATTGGAAAACAATACTGTACGTGACAGAAATCCAGAAAAAAGCAGGGGTAGCTTTTCTATTTGCAGATAATGTGAACTTGAAACCAAGAATGATCAAAAGAGATAAAGAAGGTCACTATATACTTGTCAGGGGAAAACTTCAAGAGCAAGAGATAACAATCATATATATCCATGCACCAAATATGGAAGCATCCAACTATACTAGACAAATATTAATGGGTATAAAACACAATTACAATGGGAGAACTCAACACTCCATTGCCAAAAAGAGCTTGATCGACTACATAAAAAATCAACAAAGAAATAACAGAATTGAACCAAACTTGTGAAAAATGGACATAGTAGAGATGTACAGAGTGCTACACCCAACATCAGAATATACACTATTCTCAGCTGTACATGGGTCATTCTCTAAAATAGACCATATACTAGCCCATAGAACATACTTAAGTAAATACAAAGGCATTGAAATTATCCCGTTTGTATTATCTGACCATAGTGCAATAAAATTGAAAATTAATGACAAAAGAAACCACAAACACATGGAAATTAAATAACACTCTTCTAAACAACAATGAGTCACAGATGAAATTACACAATCAAATGAAAATGCAAATACAATTTACCAGAACCTGTGGGACACAATGAAAGCAGTTCTCAGAGGAAAATTTATACTGATGAATTCCCACATCAGGAAAATGGAATGAACACAAGTAAACAACCTAATGTTGCACCTCAAACTTATCAAAAAAGAAGAGCAAGTCAAGCCCAAAGCCCAAAGAAGGAGGAAATAGAAAGATCAGAGCAGAAATGAATGCAATTGAGACAGCAAAAACAATACAAAGAATTCAGTGAATCAATTAATGAATCAAAGAGTTGGTTATTTGAAAGAATAAAGAAAATTGATAACCCTCTAGCCAACCTTATCAAAAAGAGTAAAGAAAAAACTCAAATCCACGCAGTAAGAAATGAAAAAGATGAAAACACTACACCCTTTTCATTCCTGTGGAAATTCAGAAGATCTTCAATAACTATTTTGAAAATCTATGCTCTCATAGGTTGGAAAACAAAAGAAAAGGACAGATTCCTAGAAACATATAAACTATCAAAACTTTATCAAGAAGATATAAAATCCTGAATAACCCAATATCAGTTATTAAATTTGAAAATATAATTAAAATCTTACCAACCAAAAATATGACCAGGTCCTGATGGATTCACAGCTGACTTCTACAAGAAATTTAGAAAAGATTTAACACTTCAAACACTTCAATAAAATTGAAAGGGAGCTATTTCCTGGAGCAAGTACTACCCTGATACCAAACCAGAAAAAGACCCAACCAAAAAAGGGAAATTATAGGCCAACCTCCCTAATGATCATAGATGCAAAATTCCTCAACAAAATACTAGCAACAGTATGCAGCAAATAATCAAGAAGATTAGTCAGGTGTGGTGGTGCACACCTGTAATTCTAGCGCTTGGGAGGCTGAGGCAGGAGGATCGTTGCAAGTTCAAGACCAGCCTGGGCTACAAAGTGAGCTCAAGTCCAGCTTGAATAGCATAGTGAGACCCTGTATCAAAAACAAAAAAAAGGAATAAAAGAAGATTGTACACCATGATGACTGTTATGGTTTGTGTCAGATGTTTCCCCTAAAGCCTCATGCAGTCATGGAGGCAGCTGAATCTAACATTGGTGGTTGGCTCATTGTCTGCTCTGGGAATGGTAGTGTGAGTGCTGCACCTGACGAGGGGTGGGTAGCCAGCATACAATATAAGGGAGGGAAGGAGGTGTGCTTTTCTCTTTTGTTCACCCTGTTCACTCTTGTTGCTTATGGCCACCATGAACGGCTGCCCCTTTAACCATGCCACTCTTCCTTGGAGCCAGCTGAGTATGGACTGAAACCTCTGAAAACTGTAAGCTAGATAAACCTTTTCTTCCTTCATTTTGGGCATCAGGTATTTTGTCTCAACAATAAGAGAAAAGTAACCAAGACAACGACTAAGTGGGATTCATCCCAGAAATGTAAAGATGGTTCAGCATACACAAACCAATAAACATAATACACCACATTAACAGAGCCAAAGACAAAAATCATATGATCATCTCAATAGATGCAGAAAAAGCTTTTTATAAAATCCAACACTCATTCATGATAAAAACCCTAGAGAAAATTGGAATAAATATTCTTTACTTCAATCTGATAAAGGCCATATGTGAAAAACCAACAATCAACATCTTATTAAATGGACAAAACCTGAAAGCTTTCAACACCAAACCATGAACAAGCCAACAATGTGCACTGTCACCACTCCTATTCGATATAGTACTGGAGACATTAGCCAGAGCAATTAGACAAGAGAGAGAAATAAAAGAAATAAGGATAGGAAAGGAAGACATTAAAGTATTAATATTTGTATCTCACATGACACTCTACATGGAAGACACCAAAAACTTCACTAACAGACTTCTAGACTTAATAAGCAAATTCAGCTGCATAGCTGGATACATAATCAACACTCAAAAGTTAATAGCATTCCTGTACCCAAACAACAAACTCACTGAGAGAGAAATTAGGGAAACCACACTCTTCACAATAACATCCAATAAATGAAATACTTAAGAATCAATCTAATAAAGGAAGTAAAAGATTTATACATTGAAAATTACAGTATTCTGAAAAAAAAGAAATTGAAGAGGAATTCAGAAAATAGATAGATATCCCTTGCTCATGGATAGAAAGAACAACATTGTGAAAATGGCCATATTCTCAAAGCTGTTGTACAGATTTAATGTAGTTCCAATCAAAATACCATTAGCATACCTCAAAAATCTTTGAAAAACATTCCAAAAATTCATCTGGAACCAGAAGAGACCTAGAATAGCAAAGGCAATCCTGGGAAACAAAGACAAGGCAGGAGGCATCACAATCCCTGACCTGAAATTATACTACAAAGCTTCTATAATAAAATCACCATGGTACTGGAAAATAAATAGACCTGAGGATCAATGGAACAGAATAGAAGATACATACACAACTGCAAAGACAGTCAGTCACCTTATCTTTTATAAAGGGGCCAAAAAATATTCATTGTTAGAAAGATAGCCTCTTTAATGATGCTGGAAAAATTGGCTTTCCATATGTTGAAGACTTAAGCTTGACCCATGCCTATTACCATGCACTAAAATCAAAATAGATCAAAGTCTAAGTATTAAAGACAAAAACCCTAAATCTCCTGGAAGACAAAAAAGGAAGATGTGTTGAGGACAGGGGCAGACAGAGTTCATGAACAAAAACTAGACTGCATGGGAAGTACCTCAAAGAATCAACAAATGGAATCTCATCGTATTAAAAAGTTTTTGCACATCCAAAGAAATCACCGACAGAGTGAAAAGAAAATACATGGATTGGGAAAAGCTTTTCCCAACTGTCATCTGAGAAAGGACTTCTATCTAAAACATATAAAGAAATGAAAAAAGAATCAGGTCCCCGAATTTAATGACCCATTCCAAAAATGGGCATCTGAAATGAATACACAATCCTCAGATGAAGAAATACAAATGGGCAAATAAATATATGAAAAACTGTTCAGCATCACTGGTCATTTGAGAAATGCAAAGTAAAGCAACACTGAGATACAATCTCACTCCTGAAAGAATGGCTAACTTCAAGGAACCAATGAATAACAAATGCTGGAGTGACTTCTACATTGTTGGTGGGAATGTAGATTGGCAAAACCACTGTGGAAATCAGTGTGGAGATTCCTCAAAAACTAGGATTAGAGGTTCCATTTGAGTCAGATATCCCCATTCTGAGTATTTTCTCAGAAGAACTGAAAGCATCATACCACAGTGATATATGTGCACCCATATTTATATATACACAATTTATAACAACCAAGCTTATAAACAACCTAATGCCCATCAACTGAGGAATGGTTAAAAAATGCGATATTTTTATACAATGGAGTACTACTTAGCTATTAAGAAGGATGAACTATATATTTTTATAAGTAAATGTATGCAACTAGACACCATACTCATAGGTGAAATAAATGACTGACATGTGTAAACACTGTCTCACTAGTGTAACAAATTGAAAGAAAATTAGATCCAAAAGTTACAATCGATATAGTGAAAGGAAAGCTACAATAGATATAGTGAAAGGGAAAGAAATTGCTCAAAGGAAAATCATACTGTTTGATCAATTTTGCATGCCTGCTTTTGGAAACCTGAGCAACTATTTTGAAGATAACAATATGCAATATAACAACCATTGTTAACTTCCTACCATCTTGTTTTGAAATCCTGTATCACTATTGTTTTTTGTTGTCATTTCACTTTTGTTATTTTTTGTTTGTTTGCTTGACTGCTTTTTTATTTTTCTGTGCTTTTTTTCTTTAAAATAAAAAGAGAGGGAAACAGAAAGAAATAAACCCTTCTCCAGGGTTCTTTTAGGGACCCATCACATACACACCACAGCACACACACACATAACCAGGAATTCCAATAAGAAAAGAAAGATCCTTGCCTTATGGGAAGTGTCCAGCTTTATGTGGCTCCATGGGCCTGGCACAGGCCCTGTGGGTAGTCTTGCTTCTCTCTCTGTCTCTGTCTCTTGCTTTCTCTCTCTCTCTCTCTCTCTCCATGATAAAGCACAAAAACACATGTAACATAAGTTGACCATTTTAACATGTGTTAAGTATATTACAGTATTGTACCACAGCTCCCCAGAACTTTGTTATCCTCCCCAACTGAATCCCTGCACCCATTAAACACCAACTCCTTCCTCCATTCCCTCAGACTCACGCTACCACTACTGATTTATATTCTTAGGAATCTGACTACTCAAGATAGTTCATGAAAGTACAATCAGACAGTATTTTTTTTTAAAAAACAGAACGAAATTTGTAAGATAGAATCAGAGCAGTGTTTATTCATTAATTATTTCCCAACACTGAGGCAAGGCACTGTGGAGTAGTCCACCTAATCTCTCATAAATTTTGAGATTTTCGATATTCATTAGTGGGACAAGGTTTTACTCCAGGCCCTAAAGGAGCACTGAATGGTTTCCTCCCCCGGCCTCAGGGAGTTTACTTGTGCGCACATAGGGCTCATTGCTCTGTTGAATACCTGAAGAGGAATCCTCTCCAGGTCTCCAGATTTCTCTGTTGCACAGAGAAAACTCTCCAGAGTCTAGCTGCTTGGTCTCCCAAATTAGGAATTCTTCTGGGCTTCGCCTGAGTTTTTTTCACCCTACTGTGCCTCAGCCTGTGAACCCTCATAAGGCAGTAATCAGGGGCAATGTGAGGCTCACTTGCTTTGTTTGTCATCTCTCTAGGTAACTGTCCTTTAATGCCTGATGTCCGCTGTTTAGAAAACTACTGTTGCATATATTTTGTCTTTTTCTTTTCGTTGTTTAAATTGTTTCAGGCAGGAGGATAAATCTGGTCCTTGTTACTCCATCTTGGCTAGAAGTTGCCTTTTGATTTTAATTTACTTTGTAAAGCTTTTGCCAGCTGGATAATAAAGATGAAAAATACTTTCATTTTCTAACTCAGCCAGCACTGGGCCCTTTATCGTCCTCCTAAATTCTACTTGTAAGCTAAGTTTTGGTTTCATCTCATCTCTGTTGTATGCTACAAAACCAGGGCCACAGCTATCACTTTCAACTTTTTTGCCTGAGACCACCTTATCTACCATCTTCCATGCTACCATAGACTACTGTTTTGGAAATTGTTTCAAAACCACATAATCTTCTTGTAGCCAAGTATAACGGTTTCTAGCTAATTTTTCAGCCTCTGCTGTTTCTAAACTGCTTTTACAACCTCTGCCCTCATGCCTTGTCCCAAAGTCAATGACTCACATTTCAGTCTTTTTAGGACAACACTCCACTTGTATATGTCAATTATCTTATCATGTAGGTTCAGACACATCAGAAACTGCCCTAAAATTTTATGCTGTATTTTAAAACATTTATTTAGACAATTTTGCACGGCAGCATTTGGGGCAAGGTACAGCTGTGCCATTTTTGTAGCTTGGATTGTGCTCAGGTGAACACAGCTGAACCTACTCATGGAGCTTCGGTTAGTTGATAGGTGTACTGGCTCTGGTTACTTTATAGTAAATTCTCTATGGCTCTTCCTCCAGAGCTCTGAGTTTGTTTAGTTAGAGGTTCTTTTAATCCATCAAAACCAGTTTTTCCCCCCACTGGATCTGTTAATATTGAAAGTAATAATTCTCATGCTTGGATTTAATTCTCTTTGTTCATTTTCCCTTTTACAGTCTTGACTTCTGTAAAAAGTTGTCTTTCCATTCCCACATACATTGGAAATTATATAATTTTACTGTTTTTAAATCAGTTTCCTTGGGGAGTATAATATGCGTTCTTAATTTGTCATAATCTAACAGTAATTGTTGCTTTTATTCTGCTGCTAGACAATGCAAAGATTTTAGAACACTTTAACTCCACTTACTCCCTCTTCAATTTACGCACCATTGTTATTATTTAATTTTTGTATAATTCTTATAGCAGGTTATTATTTATTTAGGTCTTACCCACGTTTACCATCTCAACACTGTTCATTGTTTCCGGCACCTCTGATCTTCCATATAGAGTCAGATTAGCATACTCAGACATAGGTGGTGGCAGAGCTATCTGTGATAGGTGGCCACTAAAGAACTGAGCAGTTCCCATATTCCACTCATCCCTAAGTAGCTCTGGATCCAGGGGACATGCATTAACCCACTTGGGCCCTCCTGGAAGTCCAGAAACTATTTTTTTTTTCTCCAATAAACACCCTCTTCATTTAAAAGAGAGAGGAAGAGAGGGAAAGAGAGAGAAAGGTATGACAAGGATCAGTAGTGACTTCAAGATGATGACTTCAGGGAGGCCATTACAGGATCTTCAGGAAAGGGGAAAGTGCAGTTTCCTCAGGCAGAGAGTTAAAAGGGATGCTTCTAATCGAAAAGAAGATGTGAGTCAGAATCTGCCCATAAATTCTCATTTGAATTTTCTAGCTGCCTTTCATCCCCAATCAATGATCTCTCACTTGACAAAAAAGGATCTTATTTTTTTTCTTTGCTACCATAATAGAAAACCATAGATTGAGTAATTAATAAACAATAGGTATATATTTGGCTCACAGTTCTGGAGGCCAGAAACACTGGCATCTGGTAAGGGCCTTTGTGCTGCTTCAAAACATGGTAGAAAGGGGACAGAGGGGAAAATCAGGCCAATCCTGTCATCACGTTCCCTTGGTAACAGCATTAACCCATTCATGGAGGCAAAGCCATTATGATCTAATTACGCCTTACCTCTGTTACAATGTCAAACTTCAATATGGTTTTTGGAGGGCAGAAACTCTATGAGGTTGGGAATTTGTGCTGTCAAGCATTCCCAGGATTAGACTTTGGGTTTGGCTTTTGGAAATCCCAACCTGGTGGCTATCAGAGATAAGGGTTCCTTTCAGGGTAGTCTAGAAATTTTCAGGTGTCTGTAAAGGTCTTGAGGTGAGAATTTAAAGTTCTTTGCTGACCATTTTGCTTCTCCAGGTTCTTCAGCAACCTACCAACCCTAATATACTTATTTTGACTAAAATGTTCTAAAGTAGAAAATACTATATTTGGTTTCCCAGAGTCCTGCATTCTAGGGATACTTCATTAAAGGTGACAATTTGAGTAACTGCTTTGCTACTTCATCCCATGGACTGAAAGCATCCTCTTTCTCACTGAAAGGAAGGTTATTAGTGGCTTTAAATCGTATCAGATTAGAAAAGTAACTCCAGAAAACTCAGGACGAATTCAGAGCACTCATTCTTAACGATTTTGTTGTTCTGGAACCAACTCAGTACCAAATTCCATATCAGTCAGGGTTCAGCGAGAGGCAGAACCAGTAGGAAATACATACAGTCATATACCCCATAACTACATTTCTGGAGTGCTTGTACAATGGTGGTCCTATCAGATTATACTGACTCATGACATTTGTGTAAAAACAATCTATGATGTTCACACAATGATGAAATTACCTACTGATGCAGTTATCAGAATGCAACTGTGATCATCGTGATATGTCAATTTGACTTGAGTAAGAACTGCTTAGCAGATTAGTAAAGCTCTGGGTGTCTTTGTAGATGCCTGACATGTAGGTCACAAAATGGGGAGGGATAACCCAGCCCAGATATGGGCAACACCAACGAATAAGCTTGGAGCCAGGATAGAATAAAAAGTGATAGAAGAAATCTTCCCTTTTCTTCTTTGGAGGGGCCCTGGCCTGCTCTATTGCTTTTGAATATTCATCTCCAGTTCCTCCAGCCTTCCACTGCAGACTCTTCTGCTTTTCAACCCAGACCTTTCAGCTTTCTGGCACAGACTTGACTTGCACCAGACTTTGCAGTGAGCTCCAGGCCTTCAACCTTCAGCTGTATCCCCTTGCTCTCCAGTGCGCAGATGGTCATTTGCATTTTTCTACCCATGATCCTGCAGGCAGCTGTTGTAAGCCCACAAATTAAATCCTTTTAATGATACTTATGTATGATATATAAATTTGTTCCTCTAGTGAACCATGAGACAGTTGCCCTGATTTTAACTGATGTGTGGCTGTATATATGTATGTATATACTGATTCTATATTTGTGTATACTGATTCTGTGTATGTGTAAGCTGAATGTATATATATTCTATATTTGTGTATACTGATATATACTGATTCAATGGCATTAAACAGCTCAGAAATCAAAGAGTCTGGCAGAGGATCCAAGGGAAGACAGAGGAATCACAGGCCTACCTGCTGCTTCATGCCAATAAGGTGAGTCAGTAGACTGGCAGTAGCACATGTGTGCTTCCTTCTTGCCTTCCAGTCTCTCAAGAATTTCCTGTGGCCGATCCTTCCCAGGAACATGCAAGAAAGGAAATGCTGGGACGCGAAGTTCATACCTGGCCAAAGTACCCATTATAAGGCTGTCGCATTCTCCAGGTGATTATGTCCCTTCAAATCATCCTTTTGTTCATGAATTAGCTTCAATAAATTTGGTTTTCCCTAAGGAAAGAGTTCATTCGCCTAGTTTTAAAAATTAGTGGCATCTTGTGGCACTCCATAAATATATGCAATTTTTATGTTTTATATAAGTTAAAATTTTAATTTAAATGATTAAAAATAAACTTATTAGCAAAGAAGTTATTTACAGAATTCTTGTGAACTTTTTAATCAGTATTTTCTGGTATATCTATAGTTATATACCTTTTGTACTTACTAATGTGGTTATATTTTATATTGGTTTTTAGCTTAATAGCATTGATAGCATGCTATTAATAGTATTAATTCATCTTATGGACTACATTTGCATTATGATCAAAGAATGTACAATTTTGTTACTGATTATTTGTATTAGAGACTTGTAGTGAGTTTTTATAAATATGGATTCTCTAAAATTGATTGCAGAGTTGTTTGTGATTATATTTATCACAAGCACACATCTATATACAAATAGTGTATAATACACACCATCAGGTGAACTAATTGGGCTGTTCTGTCTTCTATACACGAACTTCTTACTCCCTAATCAGTTACTGACAGTGTTTTATTCAATATCTCCTTTTAGTAACTTAGTCTAGTGGTTGCATCAATTTTTGCATTAAAAATGTAAAGCTTTGTCATCAAATGTGTTTACAACTTTTGTGTCTTCCTGGTAAGTTATCCTTTTCACATTCAATAATGATCTTTTGGAGCTGGAGATTAGCTTGGTGGTAAGGCATATTCACCTAAGGCGCACACAACCCAGGGATCCAATCTCCAGCACAATAAGGGCTGGGGACTGGGGGAAATATAGCAAAGTACAGTAACGATTGTGTGTGCAGGTATGTGTGTGTGTGCATGTTTTACAGTACTGGAGATTGAACAGAGTGCTGAGCTATACTCTCTCCTGCCTTGTTTTTCATTTTATTTTGAGACAATGTCTCATTAAGTCACTAAGTTGCTCAGGCTAGATCTTCCTGCCTCAGCTTCCCAAGTGTTGGGATTAAAGATGTGCATCACTGCATCAGGTGATTAATGACCTTTTTGACTCCTAATGACATACTTGCCTTAAAATCTGTCCTGCCTTTGTTAATATTGCTATGGTTTTCATTGTACTCTTCCCCACCACCCCAAGGTTTCTTTTAATTTTCTGTAAGTTCAATTATACTCTTAAAAAACATATTTGTTCTATTTTAGCCATTATGTCTGGTATGTTTAGCAGGGGGCTTGTATGTTTGTTTCTAGTTCTTAATGTTCTAAAGTTTTTAAAAATGAAACCTATACTTTAAACAGAATTCTGTTTGATATTAAATCAGAATAACAAATAATTATCCAATATTTATATAATCAAGGCCTCTTATAAATGATGTTAAATTATATTAATTATAGGACTCTAAATATATTGACTTTGATCTCTAACAGACATTTAAAAAATAATTTTCTTCCATAGTTTCCCACAGGAAACTGACATAGCCCCCTTCGCTGAAGGCTGATTCTGCCACTGGAGGATCACTAGTTTATGGAATTGCAAAGAAAGATAACAGTTTGAATACAGAAGCAGTTTATTTTATTAAGTTTGCTATTCTTCTTCCCGTCCCTCAGTCACTTCCAGATGTTGAACTTCATGTTTTTTATGGTCCTCTGCGGCTTCCTTTCAGTGTGTTTCTAATCTGCACTGGTCTCCTATTTCAGTGGTATCCAAGAAATCAACACTAGGCTCAAATTAAGTGTGTAAGTGGCGATGTATGAATGCTAACACTGGAGGCAAATCTTATCAGCTGACATTTAACCTTATCTTACCAAATCAGGTTGTTAAGGGTTTCAAACATTCAGTTGGTACATCTGCTTGTGGCATGCATAGGGAATCTACTTTTGTCTATTACTATGAATTTCAGAGGTCCTGGGAAAATCTGTGATTTGAATTCAGCTGTTTATAAGGAGTTTGAGGAGAAGTCTTCATTAGTAGTGAGATAACTTGATATTTGATTTTTTCAACTTCTCATACTTATGCACTACATAGAAAGCTTTTAAAAATTCATTGAAGTCAATGCTTCCATCTTTGTTTAAGTCCATTGTGTTGGCAAGCTCGTCAATTTGAGAATCACCAATTTGAACATTGTAGTGCGAACTAAAAAGTTTCCACATGGTCCGAAATTCTTCCATGGAGATTTGGCCTAAGAGAATATAGAAGACAGTGAGTGCTCATGCCAAGATACACTTAAGAGAGGGGTAGGAAAGGCATAGTAATTGAATAGTCCCAACAAGAAGCTCATTAGCATGCCTAACCATCCAGGCAATGAAGGACATGAAAAACTATGATCGTATATGTAAGAAATAGAAATCCACTTTCAACTACCAAATGATTCTGAGTTATTCCAAAGCTAGAGTAAGTATACAGTGATGGAATGTGGACTGTGGAGCTAAATGTGATCTCAAAATTATAAGAACTGAAATCTAAGAGTAAGGAACATGGAAGGATGGCAAAGAAGAGAATAACATCAAAGCAGAGGAAGACAGTACTCTGGGAGTTAATAAGAGGACTGAAATCTTTTAGTCTTTTTTTAATAGGCAATACTTACTTTTGTAGGTCAATTACTGATGTGTGTGTGTTTGTGTGTGTGTGTGTGAGTGGTGTGTCTATGTGTTCAACAGTCTCAGTAGTGGGGAAGTATCTGATTTGTGGTGCTGGATATTGAACCCAGTGCCTTGTGGATGGTAGGGAAGCATTCTACCATTGAAGCAACATCCCCAGCCCAATATATTTTTTAAGTTTGAAAATAGGTATGCCAACAAAGTTAAATCAAAAATGAGTTTCCATAGCTCTCAGTCCCCAAAGCCGAGTCAGTACCCTACAAATCGTTTTTATTTTAGAGTAACTAATACATTAAAATGGAAAGTGAATTATCTTTATGCCTGTGCTGGTGATTTATCAAAGAGACTACCCTAGTTTGACCAGTGGCTACACAGGCTTCTATAGAATGCTATCCTCTTGAATACAGAGTTTGTGGCTAAACTAAAATATCAATATTAAACATGTATTCATCTTTCTCTTAAGAGTTTCATTAAATGAAATGTATGAAAAGAATTTTGATTTTGGATAAACAGACTGGCTTTTGCTTTCTACTACCACTGAAGCAATCAAAATTCATTTACCTGAGCAATCAGAATCAATGATATTAAATATCATTTGCAGGTCAGATCGGTATCTGTACAGAGTTTCAATTACAACAGACTGAGCCTAAAATAAAGATTTTCTAAGTGTTAAAATATATAGAATTAATGACATTAGCTTCAGCAAATGTAACAAACAAACACCATTATTACCAATTCAAAGTATGTGATTTAGATAGAAATTGGAGAACACAATCCTTCTATTGACCCAATGATCTGTAATCAGATAAAAGATCTGCTTTTGTGTTCAAAATGAGTAAGGCGGCCGCAGTAACAACTGCCAACTTTTACAGCAAGCTTTGTGCCGATTAATTCATTTAGTCCTCTACAGCCCGAAGGTACCAGAATAGAACTCAGTATTATATCCATTTTGTAGATTAGAAATCAAGAAGATAACTTTCCTTAGTAACTTTCTCTAAGGTCACATAGCTATTAAGTAGGATTTGATCTTAGTTCTTTGAAGCCAAGACTTATGATCATAGGTACCAGGGCAAACTGCCTCTGAAGTGAGGTCAAAATCCTCCTTCCTAAGGACATTTTAGATTCCAACCAGCATTTCTTATTTTCCTACTCTGTTCTCATCCTACCTGCTATCACTCAAGTTCTAACTTCAATCAGGTCAATGTTCTAACTAATTGCTGATGAACTGCTAACTAATAAATGCTGGGGTCTGATACCTCTCCCTGGCAAGTTCCCATTGTAATAAAGGATTTGGCATTTTGAAATTCTCAAGACATATTCTGGGTCACAGCAAGCCTATATGTTGTCAGGAAAAACATTATTTTAGATGCTGTTCTGCATGAAAAATGGATGTCATGTCTACCTTCAGCTGGACAGCATTTAAAATAAGAATCCCATATTTGATGTGGTTAGCTTGATGAAGCTTTATCTTCTTTCTCTTTTTGCCTAAATTTAAAATACACGAATTTCCTGAACAGATCTTAGCATCCTTGGGAGATTCCCTCTTGGGCCTTTCCTGAAATTGTCACTCCCATCTCTTGCATGATTTTACTCCCAACTTTTCAAAGGACTAAGTTACTTAGAAGTCGTACAAAGGGTGTTTTGCCCAGACAGCTTGTAGCTGGGGCTATGTGTTACTTGCCTCTTTCACTGGCTTTTCAATGCGGATATCCTGGAAGCTTGTCAGGTAGTCAGCGTATCCATCTTTGTCTATGTGGACCAGATGTGAACTCAGGGTTCTCCATGGTAAATTCAGCCCCAAAATGTTCTCCATAGAAAAAGCCCACTGAGTCACTGAAATTTTTCCTAATAATAATGACAACAATACAATCCATATAATTTCTTTATAATTTGGCAAAAAAAGTGCAAGACCCTTGGTCGAGTCAGTGGGCAGCTGGGTTTTGAGGCCTGGGACTTTGGTGCTTTCCTCTGTGAGCCATCCCACCAAGCCCTAGACTCTCAAAGAAGGAATAAATAAGGATAGGCTTTCACAGTCCATAGATTGTGCCTTTACTGTCGTGTTTAAGAAACACCACTTTGGGCATTAAATTTTTTTCTTTTTTTCTGATTAACCAAGTAAGGTATGCTTATTAACAAGTATCTATTTTTTCTATATATATAAATATGTATTTACATAAGTACATATATTGTTTCTTAAAATCAACCATATATTATGCTCTAGCACACACCTTGCTTTTTATTCTTTTTTTTCTTTGACACAGGGTCTCACTATGCAGTTCAGGCTGGCCTTGAGCTCACTATGTAGCCCAGGCTGGTCTCGAACTTGCAAGGATCCTCCTACCCAAGCCTCTTGAGTGCTGGGATTACAGGTGTGCATCACCATGCCCAGCTGTTTAGCATATGTTTTATATACATGTATTGCATGTGGCAAAACACATATATACAGTTACACATGCATACAAATGTTTGTGTTTTTTAAATCATGGACACCTATCTAAAAGAACATAGATCTATATCATTGTTTAATACTCATGGAGGTATTCCATCATTTTCTTAGCATCACCCGCAATAGTGGAATTACAAGATCAAGAGGTATACAATGTTTTTTTCAATACTGAGGATCGAATTGAGTCATAGTGGACTCGAGTTATTAACTCAATTCATTCCTGAGGGCTGTTTGTAACTCAAGTTGTCAGCTGAAGGCTCGCGCTCCTCTCCACCGCCTTGCAAGTCTCTCTCCTCTATAACAGAGACAGTGTCCTGTATGTCAATGGCCTTAGACATTGGCCCAGGATTTCTCAATGAACCCCATACAGGAAAGGATGTTGTAATGTTACTTCTACAACTCTTAAAGTGTTACATCTGTACCTGAGACCATCTGGAAGCACAAGTGCATAGGTTTTGGGTCATAACTCAGGACTTTGGTCATAAATTGAAACTAAAATTCCAGTCATAAGCCAAATTGTTTGTATGCCAGGCCAGTCGTAACTCAAGGGTCCATGATACATCCTCAGATCTCCTTTTCTTTTATTTTCAATTTTAAGACAGGGTCTTCCTAAGTCACTACATTGTCCAGGCTAGTCTTGAACTTGTGATTCTCCTGCCTCAGCATCCCAAAGTGCTGGAAGTATAGGTGTGCACTATCGCACTTGACTATGGTTATGCAGGTTTTTAAGGCTTTGGGTGTACACTGTCATTCCTTGGTCCCAGAACCCTCATGGGTACAAAATTCGCAGATACTCAAGTCTCTTATAAAAAATGATGTAGTATTTTCATATAAACTACACATAACCTCCTGCATACTTTAAATAATCTCCAAATTACTTATAATAATAAATACAATGTAAATTGTATGTAAATAATTGTTATTGTGTATCACTTAAGGAATAATGACAACAAAAACAGCTGTACATGTTCAGAAGATACCTGTCTATTTTCTTCAAATGTTTCAAATATCTATTGCAGTATTTTGTTTTATTGGTGTGGAAAATGCAGTGGTATCCACCTTTCTAGTGGGGCTCACTGGTACCCCAATGGGTGGCTGCAGCCTTTCTAGTCCTGATCTGCTAGCTGGATGCCCATCAATGAACTTTTGCTCCATTCAGTGGGCCTCAAGCAACTTGCTCTCCAAAGAATTTCAGGTTTCTTTAAAATAGGGGCCTCTTCTCAGTTTGGTCCTTCCTTGGGTACTTTCTTAGCCTTAGAGGTAAGAGTAGTTCCTCTCTCTACTTGCTATTCCTGCATTTTTTAGGTTTCTTTTATCCCTTTTAGTGCTCATCCTTTATTAGTTAATAATTCTTTGTATTAAACTTCCTCGTTGAAATTACTGATGTCATTTTAGAATCCTAAATAGGCACTGAATAATATACCAGTATACAGAAATGCAATCGATTTGTATGTAATGACCTTGTGTTTGACAATTTGCTAAATTCATTTATTAATTCTAGTAGCTTTTCTGTGGATCACTTTGGATTTTCTAAATATTCAGTCGTATTGTCTACACATAGTGACACTTTTTAACTCTTAATTTTTTAATGTGCCTTATTGCCCTGGCTGGCATCCCTGGTACAATGCTGAACAGATGTCTTGATAGTGGGTACATCTGTATTAGTTTACTATTGCTTCTGTCACAAATTTCCATAGGTTTAGTGGCCTACATAACACAAATGTATTCTCTTACAGTTCTGGAGATCAGAAGTCTAAATTCAACCTCATTGGGCAAAAGTGAAGGTTCAGCAACGCTGGTTCCTTCTGGAAGCTCTGTGGGGAGAATCTGCTTCCTTGTTTTTTTCCAGCTTCTGGCTGCCTGTATGCCTTGGCTCGGGGCCTCTTCTTCCATCTTCAAAAGGTGTCACTTTAATATTTGCTGCTGTAAGCGTATCACCTTTCTCTGCTACATCCCTCGTAAAAGGACCATTGTGATCACATCAGGCCCACTGGGCAATGCAGGAGACTCTGCTTGGCCAAGATCCTTAGGTTAAAAAATCTGCAAAGTCCTCTTTGCTATACACACAGATTCTGGCTTCTAGGATGCAGATATATTGGAGGACAGGACATTATTCAATTTACAACATCTTTTCATTTACAGCATCTTTTCATTTCCAGTCTTCCTCCATTAGGTATGTTATTTGTTACAGGCTTAGAAACTTTATGAGATTAAGAAAGTTCACTTGTTGCTTAGTTTTCTAAAACCTTTTCTTCTTCTCTTTCTTCTTCCTTTCTTCTTTTTATTTCTTTATGCTAGGCAAGTGTTTTACCACTGAAATACACCTCCCCAGCCCTTCTAAAGGTTTTCTAAATCCGTGAAAATAGGGTGAAATACATCAAATAATTGTTCTCTTATTTAGAGAGAATTATATGACTTCTTCTATTTTGTTAAAACAGTGAATTATACCACTTGATTTTGGAATGTTAAAACAATATAGAATGCCTAGTATTCCTAGAGAAAGCCAAACCTGGTTGTGATATATTAATCTTTGGCTATGTTTCATTTAGGATTGTTTTCATCTAAGTTTATCAATGAAAGTAGTCCTTAACTTTCCTTTTTCATAATAAGCTTGTTAGGTTTTGATATTAAAGTTATGCTCTTTTGCTAAAATAGTCCAGAAAATATTCTACTTCAATTCTCTGGGAGAATTTGGGTAAAACTTGTTTTGTTTCTGAAATGTTATTGTAAAGGTTACTATCTGAAAGCAGAGCTTTATTTGAGGAAAGTTTTAAATTTTTATTTTGCTTTGTTTTGTTTTAAATTTATTCTGAGACAGGATATCGCTCTGTAATTCAAGCTGGCCTTGAACTCACTATGCAGCCCAGGCTGGCCTCAAACTCACAGTGATCCTCCTGCCTCAGCGTCCTGCATGCTGGGATTACAGGCATGAACCACATTGCCTGGAAAATTTTCAGATGCAATTTATTTTTTTCTCCATCTTCTTCCTTGTTTTCTTCTCTTGTTCTCTTTTCTGTATTTTTTGAGACAGGGTTTCACTATGTAGCTGGGGCAGGCCTTGAACTTAGGATGATCTTCCCACCTCAGCCAGCTAAGCAATTTCCTTAAATATAGAATTTTTCAAATTTTCTATTTATAATTGTGTCAAATTTAGTCTGCACACATTTACAAGTACAGATGTATGTATTTTAGGAATGTGTTCATTTGATCTAAAACTTGAATAATTAGCATAACAGTTTTCATAATGTATTTTCTGACCTTTCAATACTCATAAGGAATGCAGCAATAGCTCCTTCAGTTTTGATGTTTTTATTTGTGCTTGTGCACTTGTGCTCTCTTGTTTGCTTGCTTTCTTTCCTTTCTTATCAGAATTTAGCAATGTTAACAGTTTCTACAACAAACAGTTTTTTACATTGTCGATCAGTTTCATCTTTTAAAATGCCTGCATTTAAGGTTCAACATTTCCTCTCGAATTTATCGTCCCTAAGTTCTAAGCATTGTACTTTCTTTCTCACTCCATTTCAGTGCTCTAATCCCAGAGGCGCATTTCTTAATTCTAAGCCAAAAGAGGATTTTATGATTAGATTATGTTGTTAAATTGCAGCTCCAATCACTATGTCAGGGAATTAATGTATTATACATTGTTTCCAGTTCCTCACAATCTGCTGAGATTTGCTTTCTGTTTTCTCTTTGGTCAAATTTTATAAATGTTCCAGTTTTGCTTGCTAGGAATATATATTCTAAAATGTTGGATATATATATATATATATATATATATATATATATATATATACATTCTTTTAAGAAAAAAATTTGCTAATATCTCATGAGTCTATTCTTTTAGTTTCTGAAAGAAGAGTATGAAAGTCCCCCCCACTCTTCCTGGGGGTAGTGGCACACACTTGTAATCCCAGTTGGCTCAATATGGAGTTGGGACATGCTTCAGTTATCTGGGAGGCCAAGGCAAGAGCAGCACAACTTCAAGGCCAACCTGGATAATTTAGCAAAGCCCTGTCTCAAAATAAAAGAAAAATTAAAAGAACTGGAGACGTAGCTCAGTTGATAGAGCTGCTTGCCGAGCAAGCCTGAAGCCCTGGTTTCAATTACTGATACTCCAAAAGAAAAAATGTCCCAGTGTGATAGGTTTTTCTACTTACCTTCTATTCTGCCGGGTTTTGCTTTACAAATTTTTGAGGTATAAATAATAGATGTGTGTACATTTAAAATGGATTCAATTAGCAAATCAAATATTTTATAAAATTGAACTATCCCTTTTTATGTCTAGTAATATATGTTTGCTTAGGAGTCTACTTTGTCTGATATTGACAGAATGGTTTCAGCTTTGTTTTTGTCAGTATTTTCATGGTATTTTTCTGAATTTAATTTCTGATGTTTTGTATATGTGACTCTACTCTCTCCTTCCTTTCCCAGCTCTTGTATATTCCTATCAATGTATGGGTTTTGTTTTCTGTTTTGTTTTGAGACAGGGTCTTTCTACATAGTTCAGGCTGACCTGGACACACTATGTAGCCACAACTGGCCTTCAACTCCTGATGATCTTCCTGCCTCAGCCTCCCAAGTGCTGGGATTACAGGCATGCACCACCATGCCTGGCTTTGGGAATATGTTTTTTTCTGCTTTCTTCTAAGATTTTCTTTGCTATTGGTGCTCTGTAGTTTCACCAAAGTGTATTTATCCTGCTTGAGAATGTTCCTCTTTACCTATCACCTTGAACATTTCATCAATTCTAGAAAAGTCTCAGACATTATGTTAAATAAACCTCTTTTTACATTCTCTCCACCTGGTTCCATGATTACACATGAGTTAAATCTTCTTATTTTACTGCTTGTAACTCTTAATCTAATTCTTTCCTGATCTGTATCTAATATTATGTTTAACCTATCCTTTGTTTTTACTTATGATTTTAACAAGTTTACTTGTGCATATATTTTGTTCTTGAAAGAATTTTCAAATACACATTTATAATTCCATCTTTTCTTTTTTTTTCTTTTCCCAGCACTGGGGATTGAATCCCAAACCCCATTCATGATAGGCAAGAAGTCTTACCACTTATCTGTATTTCCAGCCCTTTCTATTTCTTATTTTGAGACAAGGTCTCACCAGACTGGCCTAAAACTTGTGATCCTCCTGCCTCAACCTCCTGAGTAGCTGAGATTACAGGTATGTGTCACTGCAGCTTGCTCTTTTATTTCTCTAAATATTTTTTACTAAGTATTTCACATTTTGTATTTGATAATATGAATATCTGATGCCCGTGGGAAACTAAATCTGGTGGTTGCTGTTTCTAATGATTCTCATTCATGCTAGCTCATCTTCTTGCTTGTTCATTAATCTTTGGTTGTGAACTCATTTTAGTTGATCTTATTCTCTGAATATACTAGTGGCCATCTTCCCTCAAAGATGGATTTGTTTGCTGAAAGTCCTACAGATTTAGGACTATAGGCATAATATGGAAGTCCCAGATTCAACTTTTCCATCTTTCTACTACACTGCAATTTAGTTTCAAGACTGATTGCTACACCAACAGTAGCACTTGCCCCAAGGCAATCTAGCCTTTTGTGCTCCAGTTTCCCATATGTGGTTCAAATCATCTTTCATAAGGAGTTGGGATCTAGGCAGGAGATCTACCATAATGTGAGGCTGATAAATGCATTAAAATTCTGTGTCCTCCGGGATCTAGTCATTTCTCAACATACTACCAGAATAGAAGTCCAATCCAAGGCTGTTGTTAGTCTTATAATTTGATAGAATCTTACTGAAAGGGAGATGTATGTCTACTTTTGAGTGAATAATGGATTTTTAATTTTCTTTTATTTTTCTTTTTGGCACTGGGGATTGAACCCACAGCCTTTGTACTGAGCTATATTTCCAGCCTTCTTTATGTTTTTAAATTTTGAGACAGAGTCTTGCTAAGTCACTAAATTGCCTGAGCTGGTCTTGAACTTGCAATCCTCCTGCCTCAATCTCCCAGTGTCTTGAAATTATAAGTATGGGCCAACATGCCCAGCTCAACAGTTTTCTTTTTATCATTCCTTTCTAGCAAAAAATGGAGAATTAACATAATAATGAAGCAAAGAAAATGATCCATATGTAACCTGATGTGTTAAAAAATGGTAAACATCATATAGTTTGATTACCTGTTTTACTGTGGTCTCGAACTTGGAAAGCATGAATGAGGTCAGTTTTTCGTGCAATAATTTTCTCTTTTAATATCCTGATGGCGCTGCTTTCCATAGCACTCACCCTATGTTAAAAAAAACAATAGGTAAAAGTTATGTAAATCATCCTGTCTGTTTCATTTTAATTTGCTGTGTTACTGCTTACCCATTTCCACTTTAAGTGAATTGTCTGTATTTACACATAACACTTACTAGATGGTGAATGCATGTGTGCATGTGTGTGAGCATGTGCATGTGCATTCTGTGAAATTTTAAAAGGACTATAGGTAATGTTTTCTTTTTGGATATGAAAAATTCATAAGAATAATTATTTGAAAAACAGGGAAAATAAAAAGGGACTTGCTATACCTAATATTGAAATTTATCATTATGTTACTGAAACAAAACAATAAGTATTGACAGAAGACAAGTCATATAAAATATATGTATACACACATATTACTAGAACATAACAAAAATTTCACAAATATATCCAACTATATGTTGGTCTAATATATATAACAACAGAAGTATTACAATGGATAGAAAAGGATAATTTTAAAAATATTTCTAACACAGTTAACTATCTGAACTTAAATTCTACCTCAATCAGTTACAAAAATTAATTTGAAATAAAGGAGAAACAGAGGAACAAAAAAGTTATGAAATATACAATTATCTTTTGGTATCCATGGGAGACTGGTTCTAGGATCTCCCATGGATACAAAACTCCATAGATCTCAAATCCCTTAAATAAAATGACATAGTATTTGCATATAACCTATGCACAGTCTCTTGTATATTTCAAATCATCTCTAGATTACTAACAATACTTAATGTAAATGTCATATAAATAGTTGTTATACTGTGTTTTTTTAGGAATGGTGACAAGAAAAATGCACATGTTCATAACAGACAATATTTTTGAATGTTTTCAATGCAGAACCCACAGATTGAATGGCTAATGGTATACCAAAAAAGAAAAAGAATGGCAGAGGTAAATCCAACCATAATATATGAATAGATTAATAAAATAAAAAGTCAGAGATTGCAAGACTGGATAAAAACCAAACAAGATCCAATTATGCATTGTATATAGAAGACACATTTTAGTTTAAAAAATACAAGGAGTTTGAAAGGTAAAGACAGAAAGAAAAAGAGAGAGAAAGAAAGAGACAGGCAGACAGATTGGCCAGGCAAACAAAACCATAAGAGAATCAGAGTGGCCATGCTAACAGACAAAATAGACTTGGGGACAAAAACTCTTACTAGACATAAAGAAGGCTATTCATAGTGATAAAACAGTCAGTAAAATGAAGAAAACAAAACAATTATAAACATATAAACCTGACAACAGAGCCCAAAACTACATGAACCTAACATAAATGAAGAAATAGACAACTCAACAATGATAGCTGGAGATTTCAGTACTGCCTTAGTCACTTTTCTCTTATTATTGAGACAAAATACCTGATATCCAAAATTAAATAAAGGGTTTTTTAGCTCACAGTTTGTAGAGGTTTCAGTCCATAATTAGCTGGCTCCAAAGCAGGGTGGCATGGCTGAAGGGCAATAGTTCATGGCAGTGGAAGACAGCAAATGCAACAAGAGCAAGCCTCTTTCCCTCCCTTATACTGCATGCAGGCTACCCTCTCTAGGGCAGATGCAGCACTCACACCACCAATCCCAGCACTAGATGATGAACCAGTCACAAACTCTAGGTTCAGCCACTTACAAAAAGCCTCATGAGCTTTGGGGGACATCCAGACACAAACCTTAACAAATACTCTACTTTCAATAATGGTTAGAACAACAAGATGGGAAATCAACAAGGACATAGAACTTGAACAGCCAAAGAGACCCAACAGATACATTCCACCCAGGAACATCCACATGTACAACTTTTTAAAGAACATGTAGAATATTTTCCACAATAGATCCTATGCTAGGCCATAAGTCTTAACATTTAAAAGGATCAAAATTATACAAGCTATCTTTTCTAACTACAAAATAAACAAATTAGAATAGAAACAAATTTAGACAATTCATAAATATGAGGAAATTGAACCACACAATTCTAAAGAACAAATGAGTAAAAGAAAAAAAAACATAAAAATCAAAAGAGAAATTAGAAAACTCACGAAGATGAAGCGAGAAAAGCACAGCAAAACAAAGCATAGGATGCAACTAAAGTAGTGCTTAGAGGAAAATTTATAGCTAAAAACATCTATTATAGGTGTAATTATAAATTTAATAAATACCTATATTAAAATACCTATACAATAACTATTAATATCTAGAGATAACTATATTAGATATTAATACCTACTGCTGTAAATACCTCTATAAGTAAATATACCTATATTTATGCCTATAAATATCTATATTAAAAGAAAAGATCTCTTCTCCATTAAAATTAGGGGACAGTGAATCCAGTGTAAGGATGGAAGGAAATATAAAAGAACAGAACAGAAAAAAATAAAATAGAAAATAGAAAAGCAGGGGAGCTCCAAAGTGGGTGAAAGAGGAGGAGAGGATTAACTAAAAACACATGCACCTGGAAGGTGGGAAGGGCTTGTCTGAATCCATACCTAGCACCTTGGACTCACTTGAGTCTACCCAGCTCTCACTGCCCTGTTCCAGTCCTGGACCTGCCTGAGACTCCATCTGACACCCAGTACCGATGCTGAGCAGCCTGGGTCTCAATGGTGAACTCCAGTCCCATGTGAGTCTCCACCTGGTACATTTGCACAGTGGCAGTGGCCATTCAGCACCAGGCACAATGCCCCCACTCTGGGCAAGCATAGTGTGCATCCTGCATTTTGAGAGTCCCAGGAGCAGTCCTTGGCTGGCACAATAGGCCAGGCCTCTGTCTGGTTACTAGCAAGGGTCAAGGGCCTGCCTGTTTAGCTCAGTGCTCCAGAAACTTGTCAGACCCTGTGCCCTCACTGAGACTGCTGGGATCTTTCCATATCAGTCCCAGGGCACCTGCATCTTCTCTGGTCCCCTACCCCAAGGTGACAGGGGCCTCCACTTGGTGTCTGGGGCTTGGTGCCACAGAGACCAGAATATATATCAGGTACCAAGTTTTGGCCCCTCAACTATGGCAGGAGCCTCAGAACCCAATGCTTCACTCCTTTCCTGGCTGGTGTGACAGATCAGGTAGTTGCCACAAACGGGTTTACTGACAAGGGGACCACTGAACTGAGAAACCTTCACAGAGACCCACAGACTATAAAGAGGGGCAAAGAGGAATGTGACTTGTAAGATCAAAGTCTGCAGATTCTGTGAGACAATACTCACCTGGAAACATGTATGATTTTTTCTTTTTCATTTTTGGCTTCTTTCATTTAACTCAAATTTTTCTTTTGCCTTCTATTGGTATTTTATTATTGATATTATTATAATTATTATTTAACTATTGATGGAGTTTTGGAGTTGTATCATACATTTTTTTTGTCTTTTTCGTTTTTAATGGTACCAGGGATCGAACTCATGACTGCCAGCTTGCAAGGTAGGCGCTTATGCCGCTGAGCTAAATCCCCAGCCCCGTATCATACATTTTTTATTCCCTCTTTTATAAATATAACATTTTTAATAGATCCTCCCTTTTTTCTGTTTCTCTTGTTTTCTCATCATCTCACTTTCAATCTGCTTCCTGAGTATTTCTTCCTAGTGTCTTTTTCTCTAGTTTAATCTTCATTCCCTTTTATTTATCCTTATCCTAGCTCATTTTTCCACTACTGTCATCTAATACTACTAATTTTCCTTTCCTTCTTAATAAGACCTTTTACATCAGTCTTGCCATCTTCTTCCTGTTTCACTGTTTAAGTTTTCATAATCTAATTCTTCTTCATTCATGCTCCTATAGTGACATCATATTACTTTATGAATCTGTAGTTAGTTAACTATATCTTACTATGACCGAGTACTGTTCTATGTCTTTTTTATAGTTTTTTTTTTTCTTTCCCAGAGGCTGGGTCTCACCATGTATTTCAGGTGTTTCTAACTCACTATGTAATGCAGGTTGACCTTGACTGTCTTTTTTTTTTAAATTTTTTAAAGATTAAGACAAAAGAGGAGATAACAAAGCAGATCACAACAGAACAATTAAGCAACACAGTATTTCACCACAAGACAACCTGTAATTAATAGTAACTACCATAGTGTCTCTTTCTTTGAAACAGTTGAGCATAACTTCATATAGAATAGTATCAAACATAACAAAATAGTATAAAACCATTCAAGAGAATGAAAGTATTACAGGGCATTCAGAACCAAATAACACAATGAACAATGGCTACTATATTATCTAATTTTCCATAGAAAATTTGTTTATACTATCACACATAATAAAATCCAATAAGATACAATATGATAGAACCAATAGAAACACAAGAACAAAATCATGGTAGGACTTCACAGTAAGATGATACTAAATCAGCACTGGCTATGATGTCTTGTTTTCTTCAAAATAGCTATTCATACTATCACAGATAATAAAATCAAACAAACCAGGATAAAATCATTCCAACTAATGAATGCAAACATTATAAGAATTCAAAGCAATGTAATGGGGAATCATGATTACCACAAAGTCTTATGCACTCTTACCATTTCTTATACTAGGGAGATTATATGGTATTTATGCATATGAGTTTGATTTATTTATGAGTATGCTCTCAGGTTGCATCCACTTATTTATAAATATCTCAATGTGATCCTTCTTTATAGCTGAGTAGTACCGCATTGTATAAAAATACCACAACTTTTTTATCCATTCCTCAATTGATGGACACCTAGGTTGTTTGCAAGATCTGGTTATTATAAATTGTGCTGCTATAAACATGGGTGCACATATATCACCGTGGTATGATGTTTTCAGTTCTTCTGGGAATATGCCTAGAAGTGGAATCGCTGGAACAAATGGGACTTCCAACCCCAGCTTTCTGAGAAATCTCCAGACTGACCTCCAACAGTGGTTGCACCAGTCTAACTCCCACCAACAGTGCAGGAGAATTCCTTTTCCCACACATCCTCTCCAGCATTTGTTGTTGGTAGTTTTCTTGATCCTGGCTATTCTTTC